GTAAACCTTGAGCTTCAGGAAGATTTATAGCATTAATTAAAGTAGATAATGTATTTTTTTTTGTTGTTTACTTGGTCTTAAGTAAATCCTATAAGAAGATTCACTCTTATAACTCATAATTAACATAGAAGTAACAATCGAAACATCTTTACAAAATAAAAATATAATCAGGATAGTTTTTCTTGAATGATTGACAATAGCATGATTCTCAATATTTATTTCTATATCATTATATATACTTTTCATTAAGTTATTGCATGTATTTAATTCAAGTTTTGCATCTGTATACCAAATTCTCTGTTGATATTTTGTATTAAAATTGTTAATTTCTAATAAGTTAATAAATATAAAATATTGAAAAAAAGTATTTCAAATATCTATTAGTTTGAAGATAAAAAAACATATATCTTGAATGTCTTTATGAAGAAATTTACATTTACAATTTTCAGATCTTTTGCTTAAATAAAGTTTAATATCATGAATTGGTCTTAAATAACTCTCAGAGTCTGTAGATACAGGTATTACAAGCAAATATAAATTTCTATCAATACCCTCAGAGTCATTTTTTTGTGAAAATTTATTGAATCAAAGTCTCCTATCATCAATAAAAACAAATTGTATTACTTTCATTTGTTTATGTTCTCTGCCTTGAGATACAAACAATAAATAACACTATATACAAACCTAGTATTGAAATCCTTTAGTCATATTGATAAACAGTGCTTCATAATTAAACATCATTTTTAATTTTTCTGATATTAATAGGTCATGATGCTTAGTTACTTTTTTAGACTTTTTTAAAGCCTTCATCTTTCTGTTCAGAGCTTTCCAAAATAGAGAAAAATCACATTTGTCATTAATAGTAAATATATTACAACAGTTTGGGTGCTTAGAAATATAATTGCTTAAACAATTGTATATATTAGTTAAGAAAGATAAACTATAGTTACTTCTATTTTGAACCTTTTGCATACTACAAAAAAATTTAGTTATTTTTTTTTTAAGTTGACTTTTATTAGAGATTGTTTCAACACTATAGTAATATCTAACTTTTTTATGCCATTAATTCAATGCCTTGATCTATTTTTTAGTAGCCTTGCAAGTGTTTTCAAAGATGGATGATTCAATTATACTTTTGATGTCTTGATTGGTTGGTAAGTAATTGCCATAATTTGAACTGGTTTATTAAATTTTAAATAAATATACTTATTTAAATATTAAATATTTAAATATTTAAAAATTGTAAACATTATTAATCTTTAATAAACCATTTTATTTTAAGTTTCAATATTAATACTATCTTGACATAACAAAAAGAGAAAAAATTAGAGTTTCATTTAAAAATTTTATTTATATTAATAATTTACATATGATCATACTATTAATAATTGTTATATAAAACAGTCTAATTATTAGATATTGATTGATGCACTAAATTAATAACTTGAAATTCAAAATTACAATAGACTAGATGAAATAAAATTGTATTAGACAGTAAAACTAAATTGTATAACTAGAAAAAATGTTACAGTAAATTGGTTACTTTTTGTTTCAAATTGTAATAAGCTAGGAAACATCTTTAATTTTAGTTCTAAAATTTATGACATTTAGTAGATTTTAAATACTGTTCAAATGCTTTTTCTTCAACCTTATTTGTGTCTATGTCTTTGTTATAGCAGAAGCCAACATTTTTTAAATTGCCACCTTTATTTTGAATTATTCTTTTGAACAAAATCTTTAACTCTAAAATTCTTTTGGACTGGATAAAGTTTCATTCATTTCAAATTTTTTTTGTAGTATTAAAAAGAGTTGCTGATTATCATAAAGCATTGGATAAATTTGTTATTGCATGTTATGCAAGCAATAACTGCTATATTATGTGTTTAAATTCTAGTTGGCTCTTTCAAATACTATAAAAGTATAATCTGTTGCTTACATAGCAGATCATACTTTTATAACACTTAAAAGAGCCAACCAAAATTTAAACACATGATATTTTATATATTTTATATTCTCTTCTTAATTGTTCAGGTGACCTAGCCATACTGGCTAGATCATTGATCAATCAGGATCACACATAAAATATTACAGTTATTATATGCTTTATATGCAATAACTATATATTATTCAAATCTTATTACTTTAAGTACAGTATTAAGTAATGTTGCTCAAATTTTCATTATCTCTGCTAAGTAAAAAGATATATAAAGGGTATCTTTCTTTCTTCTTTGCCAATTCTAAGTTTCTATATTTTAACCTAGATTTTCCTATCTTTAACTCTAATTTGTAAAAGTAATATTTTCCCACTAGGGTAATTTCTACAGACAAAGTTGTTATTGTATATTTTATTTAATAAAGTTAATCTATATATTGTTACTATCTTGAACTGGTTGTTTGTTGCTATGTAGTAAAGTAAACTACTATATTTTTATTCTATATATATTTGCAATAGTCAATCACTATACTAGATGGTCTTGTTACTTAATTGTATTGTTTAAAAAGACTACAATCTTGTAATACTATGCATTTAGATACACTAAATATAATTTTTCCATCTTGTGTATATGGCTAAAGACTACTTGACCATCCTAACATCTTTTGTTGCTTCTGAACATGTCTTTTTCTTAGATGAAAATATGATCACAAACAAGAAGTCCAATTTGGTACTTAAAATTGTAAGAACAGCACAATGTCTCAAGTCATAGATGCAAAGACCATTAAAGGAAAAGTTAGAAATTTGTAATAACAAGATTCAATTTTAAAAATTGTAATGTTTATTTATCTAATAAATAATGTGTAAAGTATATCTACTATTTGAGTATTGTTTTGAAAAAGATTTTAAAAACATAGTGATTACTATAGTAATCATTATGTTCTGTAAAAGTATAATTGTTTGCATATTATATTATTTATAGTTCTACTATTTACTTTCATTTGCCATTTTATAAATTAAAGTTTACTGTATTACTGATATATTGTTAATGATTCTAAGATAAAATGAAATAAATAATTAAATAATTTAAAATTATAGATACTATAATAAATAATTAAGTTATTAAAATTATTAAATAAAAATATAAAATAAAAAAATATATATAAAAAAATATAAAAAAATATAAAAAAATATAAAAAAATATAAAAAATATATAAAATATATATAAAATATATATAAAATATATAAAAAATATATAAAAAAATATATATATAAATTAAAACCTATTTGAGATTGACTTTAGTTAACTACTTGGCTAAGTTTAGTTAACTAATTAGTCAACTAAACTTAGTAAAATAGTTATCTAACTATTATTACTAAGTTTAGTTGACTAATTAGTTGACTAAATTTAGTAAAATATTTAGTTGTTTATGAACTTTTAGACCGAACTCAAACTGACAAAACACAATAAAAAAAATCGAACCTGAACCTGATCCTGAATATATTTTCAATCTTGTTTGGGTTCGGGTTTGATTTTCAGACCAAACTCAAACTTGATAGAAGTTCAGTTCAGTTCAGTTTGGTAGAAGCACTACAATAATTGCTTTTAATAGGCCTTATAATAAAATTGTATTAGTATATATTTGGTTACTGATTTCAGAAATAAATGTTAAATGTAGCTTTTTGATTTATAAACAAATTTTAGCAGATAATGGGTATGCTTTGTCAAAAAATTCAAATAGAATGTTGAATTTTTCAAATTTTAATAGATAAATAAATAATCTTTTCAAAAAAGTTTAAAAATCATATCCTCTATTTAATTATTTTAAATTTATTTCGCATTAATCGCATAATTGACCTTGATCGCATTGCATAATTTACCCTATAGCACCACATAATTCTGGACACCCTAACCTATATACATTGAACAAATGAATATCTAAATATAATAATCTTGAAGCTAATTGTGGTAATAATAAGGGATAGATTAGTGGAGCAATCAAAATTTAACGGATCGACCACCCAACATTTTACTAATAAAATAGTAGTTCTAAATGGATAGATTTGTGTCAATATGCAAAAGAGAGAACTTAATACCCTAAAAATTTTTTATAGTGGAACAGATTATTGACAATACAATTTCCTGAAAGACTGAGACGGAGGGTTTATTTCTAACATTTACTTATGTTTACCGAAATAACGGGCATGGGCGTTATTTCGAATTTTGGCCAGCATTAAGCTTAATTAGAGCCAAAATTAGTTTTATGCAGAATAAACATCAATAACGTGCATGCGTGTTATTTCGAATAATGGGCCGAATTAAAATGATTTAGGCCAAAATTCGAAATCACATCCCTGCGTCACAGACAAGACCCGGACCGAATCCAAATTCAGCCAATCAACTTATTTCGGGTAGGAGGACCGTTAATGTTACACATATATTAAAACTGGTTAGGGATTATATTTATCACATAGACTATAGAGTTGAGTTAATTGATCACGACGCGTAACATTAACGGTCCCACCTCGAATAAAGACCCTGCGCGTAATTTCGCGAAAATATGGTGTTTGATGATCATAAAAATAATTCGAGTCATTCTGTTGAATAATACCGTTATTGGATGCTACGCAGCCGGATAATAAATACATAACTTCCGTTATTTACCAATAACTATAGGCAATTCATGTAACTCATTTATCAAGACGAATCGAATGACGAAACACGCAATAGTATTAATCAAGTAGGATGCAACGAATTGCGAGTTAGGTATTTAGGTAATATAGATAGATGTTTAACAACATGGTTTACATTATTTGCTCTTAGCTGTATGTAAGAGTAAGAATTTTGGCAACGGCATCAAACTATAACTTTGACTTGAACCTAATTAGCTTCAAGCCACTGTTTACATCGGATCAAAACAAGAAGAAATACAAAATCAAGTGTTCCCAATTTATTTAAACATACTTATATTAAGTTGATTACAAACAATTTAAAACATCATGTGTGTACAATATATAAAAAAATGAATTGTTATATGGAAACCAAAATTGAGGTTACTGCATAAACTTAGAATAATGATAGTTGTCTACCAGTATCACTTGGCATCATTATGGCAATTTTTATTTTACCGAATTCTTCCGGTGTAATTACCTTTATACAAGGAAAGAACGATTAATTGTGTTGAAATAAAGATAAATAAAAGATAAATAAAATAAAAAATAAATACCCTGATATGAGATGAAGGATAGTTTGATAATGTTGACGATGCTAATTTTTTTTGTTCTCTAATTACCAAACACGTGAGTCAGAAAATATTCATCGTTTTCTATTGCTATCATAAAAAAAATAAATAGTTTAAAGTAAATAGAACTTACATAACATTGATTTCATCACCAAGAACGCCCCAGTTGCCGTTACCAGCTCCAGATTTTTTTGGCTGACCACGTATATCAGTTAACGTCCCACTAAAAAAAGAAAAAAGGTTTGAATATTATGTTATCATGTATATTGTAAATATTGTAAAATAAAATGTATATTACGTAAAACATTCATAATAAAATACATAATAAGTACCGTTGAAAATGTTTTTCATGATTAATATATTTCTTTTGATCGAATGGCATTTTACACTTTAGAATTATGGGAAAAATTATCGTATATTATCGTATATTATCGTATATGAGAATATGAGAAAGAGGAAAAAGTTAAGCAACAATTGTTTTATTATGCGTTTGGTTATCGTAATTGCTTTTTTTGAAATAGAGGGTTAACTTCTTTTATAGATATTGAGTATCAATATTCCCACACCAGGCTTTTAATTATGATTGTACAAGAAGGTCAGCAGATGTCTTGTGAATTCTCGTAAATTCTAGTCAACTCCATTTATGTAAAAATCTGCAAATGACTCATCATTGTAATCATTTGCTTATGCTGATCATTAATTATTTCTTCACACGATAATACATAAGTTTCGCTAGTTTTGTATCAATGGCGTGAGTCTCTGAGAAAACAATTTATCTTTGTTCTACCGGTTTTTGATTATCTATAAAATCTATTAAGGTTTCCTTATGACGTATTGCTTATCATTATATATTTATAATCTATACGTATACGTATATAGATATACATTCACTATATATTACGTACGTACTACGTACGTATATATTTATTCTCTATATACAGATATACATTCACTGTATACATTCACTATACATAGTGATTTATTACCCGAGGTTTAAAGTATGTATTATTATTATTACAGCTTTATTATTAACATCAGTGAATCATGAGTCAAAGAATAAACAATTGATTCATGGCTAATAGAGATTGGAATTCCTGTTTACTCGATTTTGTCTTCGCCCCATAATAATTACGTACATTTGTTTGAATGGTTAAAATATATACTATTGTACTTATAATGTCATAACACCATAGTGTTAATTTTATATATAAATACAAAATTGATGTAACATATACAGCGAACGTTTCCCATCCAATCTCTTTTATTTCAGTGTGACAAATTACATTTGTGTGAATCTTAAATATTTGATTGGCCCATGTTAATCCATATTCTAATAAATTGGTTTTCTTGAACATCCTTCTAAATCTAAATATGAAAACTCATCCATAGCCTAGCAATAAATTTATTCCAGCTGCCATCCCTTTTTCTTAAACAATGCAATGCAAGCCCCCGTTGCTGTTACAATTTTAGTTTTATTGTCTAATTTCTAACTGCAATTTCATGTAAAGTTAATAGTCATTAAAATGTGTACACGTACACTTGCACCGTCATGCATCTTCTTGATCACCCAATACAAAATTGCGTACGTATACAATAAGCCTCATGCATTAGTAGTATATACGTATGTACGTATAATAAGTTGTATGTACATATATATATTGATATATATCTGATATTGTACGTAATATGTACGTACATCGTATAACAGATAAATATATTATATGATACGTATGTATTTATAAATAATTTAAAAAGAATCAAACTTTTGTTCCAAAAAAATACATGTATACATATAACTAGCAGTGAATTTTACTGGTAATAGTCAAAAATAAAAGTAAATCTATTGGTTGATATAGTTGATAATTGATGATCATCTATCTAAAAATAGGTGCGGACACAAAATCTGGTTTACGTATTACTTCCCAATAATATCCTCCGCTTCGAATAATAATATATAATAAAATAAAATTTTTAAATTTAAAATTAAAGATTAGGTTAAAGAATATAATTTATAATAAAAACTTTTTTAATTAAGACTTGAATACGATATTAATTATATATATAAATAGTTATTAAAAATTTTTTAATATTAAAAATAAGACTTATAATATTTTTTTTATTTTGGTAATGTCAATTATTTACTTATAAACTTAATACAAAATTATACAAATTTAATTATATTTAATACTTAATATTTATATATTTTAGTTATTTAATTAATATCTAAAATGATTTATTATATTAAAAAAATTTTTTTTTAAAAAAAAGTTTATTTTTTATTTCTTTATTAATTAGTTATTTATATATATAAGATATATGTTAAATAAACTAAACCAAAGGAGATAGGAGTAAATGTTACTTTACTTTTAACTTATTTTTTACTAGAATAATTAATAGACCTCTAATTTATAATAAGATAATTAAAAGAAAATTGTTCATAAATAATATAATAATAGATTTAAATTGCAAATTATATGTTTGAATTTTTATTCTTATATGTAATTTAAGAGCAAGCTTTTCTTTATAAAAACTTCAATTGAATTTTAATAAAGTTAAAGACATGGTCTCATTGTTAATATTTTTAAAAAAGTAATATAATAATATATTTTTTTATTTAGCAAAAAAAATAAAATTGATTTAGTTTTAGTTAGTATTAGAAGTTATAATAATATATTTTTTTATTTAGCAAAAAAAATAAAATTAATTTAGTTTTAACTAGTATTAGAGGTTATAAAAATAATAATATTGAAAAAACATAATTATATTAGATTACTTTTAAAAAAAACAAAATTATATATATATATATTGCAGAAATAATTTTATAATAAATAAGAAAAACATATTTGTATTTGTATTTGTTATTTTTAAATAATATTAAAGTATGATTAATTATTAAATTTAATGGTATTTGCTTATTAATATGTTTAAAATAAAAGCTTAAGTAAATTATTTATATTATAACAAGATAATTTTAGCTTGTTTAAGTTTATATATAACATATATTATTAATATTATAAAATATAAATAATTTTAAAAATAATTTAAAAAGTATATAATAGTTTCAAAAGTATTATAACACCTTAAACAAAGATAATTTAGATGTTTAGTAATATTTTTTTAGTAAAAAAGAAAAATATAAGGTAATTCTTCAGATAATAATTTGATTTTAAAATTTTTTAATACTAAAAAGGATAAATTAGTTACTAATGCTAATAGTTTTTTTATATAATATATATTGTAGAGATAGTAACTAATTAATATTATTTTGTAAAGTATGCTAATTAAAGATTTATTATTAATAGAATTAGACCAGTTTGTTTATAATTTAATGTATCTGTTTTATAATAATTTTTAGTAAATATATGTATAAATTGCTTAAAAGTTTTAAAACAAATCAGTTATATTAAAATGTTTATAATATAGAGTCTAATAAAAAAATATTGTTTTGAGTTTTTTGAATTTGAAGTTCTTTGTTAAGAGTAATTATAAATATAAAATTATATGTTACTATTTTCAGTACTAACAGAAGATAAATATGTTGCTGCTTATTTAGTATGTAATAATTATGTAGTTAAATAAACTGTATAAAGTTAATTAGATTAACAAGTAAAAACTTGTTAGTATATATTTTTATATTGATATAAAGATTTATAAAAGTTAATATAAAGGTCATCAGAATTATTAAAATATTTAAATAAAAAAGCTAAAAATTAGTAAAGCAGCCAAAAAAAATATACAAATATTAAACCTAATATTTTACTACTATATAAGAATTATTTTCTATATTTTGTTAACCACTTGTTATATAAAATGTTATATTTTTTTGTTAAACTTAGTTTTTGTTAAGGTATTTCAAAATGGCATTAAAGGATTAATAAAAAAACAGAAAAGTCTAACTAAATTGAGTTTATTTTTTAATTAGAAGATTACTATATTGTAAATAATATTAAGTCTAATGCCTTTTTGAAATTATTTAGATCTATATAAATTTTCTTTTTACAATCTATTTAAAAGTTGCAAATTAGTTTTGTTGTATTAAAATAACAATATTTAGACAAGTAGGTCATGTTTTTAAATATACATCCTTGGCAAGCTATTAGTGTATTATTGAAATATAAAATATAATATTGAGTTTTAAAATTATTGTTAAAAGAATTATAGATTCTTTCAAAAGACATCTTTTTAGTAATTTTTCAACTCTTTTTGCTAGATATTCAGTTAGCTAAAATCTATAAATTTAATTGCAAAAAAGGTAAAAATAGGTTTGTAGATACAGTTATTAGAACTTACATTAAACAAAACTAATAAGAACATTGATCTTGAAGTATTTTTTTGATATTATAATAAAAATTATTTTATATTAAGAATTCTGTATTAGTTGTATTTAATAATTGTTTAATACTTATAATATTGTGGTTGTTTAATTTTTTCTTAAAATATAAGGCTCTAAAATAATTTATAAGAATTTGATTTATAAGTATATATAAAAACTTTTCAGATATAACCAGTCATTATCAGTATATAAGGTTTGCATTTTTAATGCATAAAATACTATTATTATTTAACATATTTGTTTATTTATTTGTGTCAATAAAAATACTAAAAGTTGTACTAGAATTGAAATATTAGTAAGTGCAGTATTTTGTAGTTGTTGTAACTGCAGTTTTAAAAATAAAAAATTAAAATTGAAATAATTTAGATTTTTTTAGAATGTTAAAACTAGTGCCAAAGAAGTGTTTGAGCTAAATTTGTTAGTATATAGATGTTTGAATTAAATAAAAAGAAGTTAGAAACTTCTTATGCTAATTTTACTTTATGTTTTACTAGTTAAGTATATGTTTTGTTAAGAGAAATAAAAAATATAATCAATAAATAAAATGTAAAATAATAATACTGTTTATGATATAAATTGCTTGTTTCTCTGTTATATTAGCAAATTGCAATTTTTTTAATTAATCTTAACTTTAGCTATTATTTTTTGTTGTACTAGTATTGGCTTTTTGTTAGTTAAAAACCATGCTTCCAAATTGTTTTATTGTTAATTGCAACTAGTTGTTTATTATTAAAAAGTATTAAATTATTTGAATTTGAAGTATTTGTAACTAGAATATATTTAGAAAAGTTAACTTTTATATTGGCAAATTTGTAGAAAGAAGAAGCAGTATATAAAATATTTGTAAAAGATGTTTTGTCTAGTACAATCCATAATAAGTCATTCATATATGCCATTACAGAGGTATGTATTTTTTTTGCATTTGGAGAAGGAATTATATTGAGAAATCTTTAGTATTTTTTATATATTCTTGATATTAATAGGTTATAATATATCTTTCAAAAAAAAAGAAAAAATTGACTCTTCTTAGTCAATACTATCTTCTATCA